AAAATGGAGAGGATCAGTACCTGTATATGCTGTCCCCACAGCCCCTCTTGTCCATATGTAAAACAGAATGTGACAGGCCCCCTGGAGCATGGGGCGGGATCACCATTGCAACCCCTGACACTAAACCAGTGGTTGGGGGATGTTGTAAAAATTTACATCCTTTGACAGACTGCAACAAGCTCAAAATATAGGTGTCAGTTTATTTATTTTTTTTCACCCATTGGCTTCTGGGACCTGCCCAGCGATGAACCATAATTTTTTTTTTTTTGCATCGGTCATGGCACAGTTTATAGGCTGAAAATAGAAGCTAGTCCTCTTCGCCACGGTCAGGTCAGGCCTGGTGTTTTCTTTTTGGAGTTGTTTGGAAGTGGGATCAATTTTTCCAGTAATTACATACATGAAGCAAATAAATGTCGTGCTCTTTATTTAGTAAGATTTCCTTCACGCTTTCATACAATACTCTAGTTATGCCGGCCAGCTCAGCCTCACGACTGCCAAACCTGTTAAATGTTTGCCCTGGCGAGCTATCAGAGAGAGTAGAACAAGTCTCATCTAACTGCAGCCCAGTTCCGTGTCTGTCCTTACATTGGCAGTGTACTTTATTCTGGCAGCATCGGGCTCAGATGGTACTAAAATGTTCAAACATGGCATGTTCTTAGTCTTAGTGGGCCAAGGCGATGAAATATATAAGATGACAAGCTGCCTGCCATAGCTTTGTTGTTATTTTGGAACACTTTTTCAGCATCCTTGAAACGACCGAACTGAAGCCCCATTTGTATTTCATAAGGACAGATGACATAACCCTGTTAGAATTTGAGAAAAACTAAACCCTCTCACTGGAAGAACATTCTATAAAAGGTCAATACAAATGGTAAAAACCTACGTTCCAACTATAGTAATAGTATCAGGGAAGAAGATTGCTGAACTCACTACTCTGGTGTACTCACACTCACTACTCTGGTGTACTCACACTCACTACTCTGGTGTACTCACACTCACTACTCTGGTGTACTCACACTCACTACTCTGGTGTACTCACACACCCACTACTGTTGTGTACTCACACCCACTACTCTTGGTGTACTCACACCCACTACTCTGGTGTACTCACACCCACTACTCTGGTGTACTCACACCCACTACTCTGGTGTACTCACACCCACTACTCTGGTGTACTCACACCCACTACTCTGGTGTACTCACACTCACTACTCTGGTGTACTCACACCCACTACTCTGGTGTACTCACACTCACTACTCTGGTGTACTCACACCCACTACTCTGGTGTACTCACACCCACTACTCTGGTGTACTCACACTCACTACTCTGGTGTACTCACACCCACTACTCTGGTGTACTCACACTCACTACTCTTGTGTACTCACACTCAAAATTAAATAACTGAAAAAAATTTGGTGCGCTATCGCATCATAAATGGAACCATAAGCTTTAGAAACGCAGTGACAGTCCAAGAAAAGGTTTTTTTTCTCCAATAGTAAACGTCCAATCCAGTATATGTTGTGTTATCATCCAGCAATAATCAACACCGTGCTTGACTTGTTACCCCACTCCCTGCTCACCTTGGCCCATAGGTTACAATAGGCCAAAACTCTCTCTTTATAAGAGAAAATGTTTCTCCATATTTCTGATCCGTGATGTATTCCTTCCACGTATTATGCTTCTTTTAACCACCTTCCGCCCGACATATAGTACTTTGACGGGCGCAAGGTGGTTCTCTCGTTCTGATAGGATGTCATATGACGTCCTTCCATTCTCACCGCGCATGCACGGCTCAGGGAGCATGCAGCTCGGCGGTGCTCTGTGTCCCTTGGACACAGCGAATCACGGAAAAAGCCGAAGATGTCGGCTCGGTCATGTGATCAGCTGTGTCCAATCACAGCTGATCACATGTTAAAAACGGGGAAATGCCGGTTATTGGCATTTCTCTCCTCTCGAGCAGTCACGCTGACAGCTTGAGAGGTGAGGAGAGCCGGTAATCGGCTTTCCGCGGAGGGGACATGTACACTGATCATCAGGGCACTGATGATCAGTGTGCCCTGATGATCAGTGTGGCCCCAGAAGTGCCACCTGTCAGTGTCCATCAGTGCCAGCAGTCAGTGCTCATCAGTGCCAGTGCCCATCAGTGCCACATCAATGCCACATATCAGTGCACATCAATGCCACATATCAGTGCCCATCTGAGCTGCCTTTCAATGTCACCCATCAGTGCCAGTCAGTGCCACCTATCCGTGCCAGTCAGTGTCGTCTATCAGTGCACATCAGTGCCACATATCAGTGCCAGTCAGTGCTGCCTATCAGTGCCATATATCAGTGCCATGTATCAGTGCTGCCTTTCAGTGCGCATCAGTGATGCCTGTCAATGCCCATCAGTGCCTCCTCATCAGTGCCACCTATCAGTGTCCATCAGTGCAGCATATCAGTGCCTATCACTGCAGCCTCATTAGCCCACATCAGTGAAGGAGAAAAATCACTTATTTACAAAATTGTATAACAAAAACTAAGAAAAAACATTTTTTTTCAAAATTTTCAGTGGCTTTTGGTTTGTTTAAGAAAAAATAAAAATCCCAGAGGTGATTAAATGCCACCAAAAGAAAGCTCTATCTGTCTCAAAAAAATGCTAAAAATTTCATATGGGTACAGTGTTGTATGACCGCGCAATTGTCATTCAAAATGTGACAGCGCTGAAAGCTGGAAATTGGCCTGGGCAGGAAGGGGGTAGAAGTGCCCTGTAGGCTAGTGGTTAAACTCGAGTTCCGTGCAAAATAAAACAAAAACATACCATAGCGCAACACTGTTTTATATAACCAAAAATGAAACGTGTTACAGTATCCACTTGCATTAAACAAATTATATGTAACTCCGAATTATAGTGAACAGATATGCATTACTCCACCGTGCCGACTATATTGTGGTGTTTCCCATCACTGGGTAGGTGCACCATGCACTCACCTTCCCTGACCTCACAAATAGGTCATACACGCTTAGGGATGAAACCAAATTCTATAAAAGGTGTTTGCAGTTTTTTTTAACGCTAAATGGTCCCTGCCTTGATGAAGCCTTCCATGTATTAAAGTTGCTTTGATGAAGAGAGTTCATATTGATTTTGTACCTAATTTTAGGTGCAAAAACCTAAAAGAGGAATTCCAAGTATGGCTATATTTACGGCATATACAGTTTCCAGGAAAATGTTGTCTGATAAGTATAAGCACAGTCAGCTGACCGAAAGAGGCAAAAGGACATTTCACAGAATTGTGACCCAAAATAAGAAAACCACTGCTGCAAAAGTGACTGCAGAGCTCAATCTCAGTTCTGTGAAGACTGAGATTGAGCTCTGCAGTCACTTTTGCAGCAGTTGTTTTCTTATTCCAGATCACAATCCTGCGCAGTGTACTTTTGTGTCTTTCAGTCAGTTGACCATTTTGATCACTTTTATACTTCTCTATATATGCCGTAATAACCTTTGATATTGTACTTCGCGACATGGCAAATAAACTGACAACTTCAGTCACAGAGGCACCAGCTAACTGGCACCAACAATTTTTGCTATTTGAAGCTCCGCAAGCTCTGACATGACTCTGTATTACTAGCAGCGCACGCAGCGAATGACGAAAGTGAGGCTTCCCACCTGTTAGCTAGGTGTCTCATCACACAGCAGAGGCAATAGAATGTTACATCACGTCCGCTTTCAACGTGAAACATTGTCACTTTCACACCTGAAAATCATGTAATATTTTTATTTTTTTGTCTAACCCCTGTATACTTCATACGTGACCAATCCCTCTGGAAGGTAAAGTGGTAGTAAAGTTTTTTTTTATGTTTTACTGAAAGTGTCATCAGTCAGCTCCGCCTGTCAGTGCAGCATCATCAGTGCCTCCTCATCAATGCTCATCAGTGTTGCCTTATCAGTGCAGCCTCATCAACGCACATCAGTGAAGGAGAAAAATTACCTGTTTGCAAAATTTTATAATAGAAACAAAGAAAAAATGTTTTTTTTTTTCAAATTTTTGCACTTTTTTTTGTTTATAGTGCAAAAGTAAAACACCCAGGGACAATTAAATACCACCAAAAGAAAGCTCTATTTGTGTGGAAAAAATTATAAAACTCTCATATGGGTACAGTGTTGTATGACCGCACAATTGTCATTCAAAGTGCGACAGCGCTGAAAACTGAGAACTGGCTTGGGCACGAAGGGGGTAAAAGTGCCCGGTAGGCAAGTGGTTAATAAGGGTTACTTGTAGGTACTGTAAATATCTCCTAAACGTTCACTGTAGCCCACAAACCTGGATGGAAGACCAGGTGAAGATGGGAGCCATGACAGTGCTCTGCTGGAGGGCTTTGTTTTCAGGCAAGTCTTTCATATTCTTCTAGTATGCGATGCATATTCGCACATTATGCTCTTACGTTGCAGGGAGAAGATTTTTTCATTTTATTTTTGCGGTTTACTACCACTTTAACATCACTGTGATGTTAAGCCACTTTGAGCAACACCTCAGTAAACAGGCAAGGTGCTGAACGGTTAGCCTGGAGTAGACTGGCAAGTCATGGGCAGAAGTTTGGGGCAGATGCCAAAGATTCAGAAATAGAAACCAGATGATTAGTTACCAGGATAGTGGAACCAGTTACACGGCCCTGCATTCACAGGTAAGGATCAGATGCCAGAGGTGCAAACAGTACAGGGCTGGAAACCGGAACAAAAGGGCTAAATAAAACACAGAGAGCAAGAGCAGAGCCAAAAGAAATCAGGATCAGAATCACTGGGAAAGTATTAACCACTTCAATACCGGGCACTTTCACCCCAATCCTGCCCAGGCCAATTTTCAGCTTTCAGGGCTGTTGCACTTTTAATGATAATTGCAAGTTCATGCAACACTTTCTTTTGGGGGTAATTAATCACCACTGGGAAAATAAGACTGAAAATTTTGAAAAAAAAAAGTTTTTCTTAGTTTCTGTTATAAAATTTAGCAAATAAGTACTATTTAGCAAATTTAGAAAATAAGTCATTTTTCTTCTTCGCTGATGAGGCTGCACTGATAGGCAGATGGGCACTGATAGGCTGCAGTGATGGGCACTGATAGGCTGCAGTGATGGGCACTGATGAGGCTGCAGTGATGGGCACTGATGAGGCTGCAGTGATGGGCACTGATGAGGCTGCACTGATAGGTACAAATAGGTGGCACTGATATCAGTGTGAACAAAGTACTGACAGCCTTGCAGGTATCGGCTGTCCTTTCTTGACAGAGACACAGCGTTTGAGGAAAAGACTGCTAATAACCAGCAAGCCTGTTTACATGTGATCAGATGTGATTGAACACAGCTGATCACATGGTAAAGGGCTGCGGTGATTGATACTTTACTGCGATCTGTGATTAGCTGTGTCCAAAGGATACTCAAGATATCCACGGCCAGAAATACTAGGGAGTGTTTTTGAAAGCGATTTCTCAACAAAACAAAGCATGGAGATATGGATGGATGGGTGAGTTTATTTCCAACGAATGAAATAGGATTTGTGGTGCTCAGATGCAGTGCAGTTCCACTTTAGGTAGATCTAAAGTCAAAACCTTTCATTTATTGTGAATAGAGTAAGAAGGGGCCAGGGTTATAATGTTGTAATACCATATGTGTCCCATCACTTCCTGACCCATAGTGGGAGGAAATCCCTGGTATTCCCTAGGGCCACCACAACTAGGTGAGAAATTTTGGTGTCTTCTTTTGGTTATAATGGTCAACAGGACAAAAAAAGAGAGTGAATCTCCCTAACGGGGCACAGACAGCAAAAAAACCTGATGGGTTTTCTAATCCTCCACTTTATCCAAAACTAAAATTAAAGTTTTGACTATAGGTGTACTTTAACTTAGCCTAAAAAGGGTATCACTCCAAACTTTCTGTATATTCCCCATTTGTCAAACTGCCGTGTATTTGTGTCTCCTCCTTCTCTTTGACATTTTATAGCAGAGCGGGTCTGAACCAAGAAGGAATACTGAGATAGTTACTATAGTTACATAGTCTGGCTGAAAAAAGACAAAAAGTCCATCCAGTTCAACCATAGAAAAAAAAAAAAAAAGTTATAATCCTTTACCCACAGTTGATCCAGAGGAAGGCAAAAAAACCCAGCAAAGCATGATCCAATTTGCTCCTGCTGGAAAATAAATTCCTTCCTGATCCCCCGAGAGGCAATCGGATATTCCCTGGATCAACTTTACCTATAAATGTTAGTATCCAGTTATATTCTGTGTATCTAAGAAAGAATCCAGGACTTTTTTGAAGTAATCCACTGAGCTGGCCAGAACCAACTCTTGAGGGAGTCTATTCCACATTTTCACAGCTCTTACTGTGAAGAAACCTTTCCGTGTTTGTAGATTAAATTTCTTTTCCTCCAGACGTAAAGAGTGCCCCCTTGTCCTCTGTGATGACCTCAGGGTAAATAACTCTACACCAAGTTCACTATATGAACCACTAATGTATTTATACATGGAGATCATATCCCCCCCTTATGTATTATACATGGTGATCATATCCCCCCCTTATGTATTATACATGGTGATCATATCCCTCCTTATGTATTATATATGGAGATCATATCCCCCCTTATGTATTATACATGGAGATCATATCCCCCTTATGTATTATACATGGAGATCATATCCCCCCTTATGTATTATACATGGAGAGCATATCCCCCCTTATGTATTATACATGGAGATCATATCCCCCCTTATGTATTATACATGGAGATCATATCCCCCCCTTATGTATTATACATAGAGATCATATCCCCCCTTATGTATTATACATGGAGATCATATCCCCCTTATGTATTATACATGGAGATCATATCCCCCCTTATGTATTATACATGGAGATCATATCCCCCCTTATGTATTATACATGGAGATCATATCCCCCCTTATGTATTATACATGGAGATCATATCCCCCCTTAATCTCCTCTTCTCAAGAGAGAATAAATTCAGTTTCTCTAATCTTTCCTCATAGCTGAGCTCCTCCATGCCTCTTATCAGTTTGGTTGCCCTTCTCTGTACTTTCTCCAGTTCCCCAATGTTCGTTTTGTGTATTGGTGCCCAAAACTGAACTGCATATTCCAGTATGAAACTGAACAGCCCCCTGGTGCTGACACATTTAAAGGCTAATGGACTTTTTTTGTAAAAAAAAGGAAGAAAGTGCACAATTTTGTAAAACCGGCCATATGCTGAATCTAACTGTTGTCAAAATACCCGATCATTGCTTGCATCTGATTGGGTGGAGATGCTGTATTGTCAGTATGTTCCACTCGGTTTCTTGACTCTTGTTGAGCTGAGTAGTGTTGAAAGATTTTTGACTTTTTCAGACTGCATATGGCAACCTTATCCCGTTGTAGCTTGTCAGATTTACTGGCACACCTTCAGAACAACATACTCAAGGAGGTGCTGGGAACTTTTAGACTTGTAAGTGTAGTCAAATCTAGGGAAATGTCAAACAAGTTCAATAGTTCTGGCAAGGCAGCTCCCACACAGTAAATCTTCCCTTGATGGGCACCCAGCAGTGGGGTTGATTTACTAAAGGCAGATAGACTGTGCACTCTGTAAGAGCAGTTGCTCCAGAAGCTCTGCCGCCTTCTATCACCCAATTGTGTGCAAGCAAAATGCTGTTTTTTTTTCTATTTGGTTTTGTTTTTTATTTTTCTTGCATGTAATTGGGTATTCTTTGCAAAGTGAACTTTACCCCATTTACTAAGCTCTGGAGCAACTGCACCTTACAAAGTGCACACTCTATTTTCCTTTATTAAATCAACCCCAGTAGCTGGGCCTCTGTCAGAGATCATGGATCTTACAGCAGGACAATGACCCAAACCACACGTCAAAAAGCTCCCAAAAATAGTTTCAAACAAAGTGCTGGAGAGTACTGAACTGGCCAGCAATTAGTCCAGATCTCAATCCCATTGTGGATCTCCTGTGAAGAGATCTCACAACAGCAGTTGGGAAAAGGAACCCTTCCAATCTGAGAGACCTGGAACAGTTGGTGAAAGAAGAGTGGTCCAAAATTCCAGTAGAGAGGTGGAAGAAACTCATTAGTTACAGGGAGTGATTGATTTCAGCTTTTTTTTCAAGGGGTGTGCTACCAAATATTAAATTGAGGGTGCCAGTATGCTTGTTCCTTCCATTTTTGGGGTTTTGGGTGGAATGTGTCAGATTTGGCTTTTTGTTTCTCCACTTTTTGTATCATTCTAACACAAACAGAAGAAATAAACATGAGAATGCCGAAACATTTGTGATTGCAACAATTTTCTGGTCAAAGCGGTGCACTGTCTGAGAGAAATGCAGGGGTGCTAATATTTTTAGCCATGACTGTATAAGACCAGAAATGTATTTGTATATGACCAGCCCTAGTTGTGAATGTCATCAGTAGCTTTGTCACTTTAACCTTTTCATTTTTGGTTTAGTGGCCTTACAGGGTTAAATGGCTTTGTTGAATAGAATGAGCTAGAAGTGCTCACATTTCCCAGCTCTCCTTCCAAACATGCTAATTTAACATAATCTAAAGTCTTGTAGCACACACTAAATAAATTAATCTAACATCATCTTACATCTGGTAAAGGTTATGGCAATTCATATGTTCCCTCATAGTTACGAGGCATTGACACACTGAGCAGTGAAAGGCCGTAGACTCCACAATAAAAGTAAGACTTGCTCATACAATAGGAGGAAAGTGTAAGTTGCTTATTTATTGATTTTTCCAAATATTCCACGTAGCTCCTAGTTATGGATTAGATTCGTATACTGCACACTGGGATTTGTTTAATGGAACACTTTATTAATCATAGATTGCAATACATGACCAGAATTTTGTTTTAAATGTTTTTTTTTTGTTTTTTTTAAATAGACCACATACAGGAAATCTGTGAATTCAATATTGGCTGTAGGCAACAAATAAAGACAATCAGTGAACTACTAATCCAGGAAACATTTAGAGTGTTTTAGGGTCTACCTGATCTAAGCTGAGGTTTATGGAATCCTTTGCAGCCGTATTTAGCAGGCTTTTTAAGGATTTCAGGTGGAACTGCAGTCTCTTGTCGGATGATCCTGTGAAATGAAAAGGAATCTCCCCAAAGAAAATAAAATAATCCACCTTAACCTCCCTAGCGGTCTGATTATGTCCATATTTCTGTGCTCAAAGCAGTACATTTTTTTTGCATGGAAATATGTATTTTTTTATTGTAGGCCTGTAATTTTTAGGAATAACTCACTGAAATCTGTCCGAACAAGAGTCTAGTAAACATCCCTGGTATGTTACAATTTGAAACACGAAATCATAAATTATAATTTAATAAATAATCATAAAAATAATAATAAAATAATAATAAATTTAATTAAATAATATAATCAAACCAAAAACACTGAAATTTGAAATATAGCGCCAAGTTCACACATCACTGAGCAAAGTCTCATTTCATTTTCACTGTCTGATGACGAATTTCCCCACAAATCATTATCAGTCAATTCTGCAAGTGGTTCTGATTTACTATCGCTGTTCTCTAGCTGGTCTAAAACCGCTTTTGACCTAAAGGGACGCTTTTTGGACGTCATGGACGTTTCTCAGTTTCCAGGCAGAAAGAACAGTAAATATGCAGGCAGGGCGCAGGACAAAGCACTCGGGACAAAATGTATGTGAAATGGTTTGATACAGTAATGGAATACTATGTGATTTTAGCGAATGTCACTTTTTGTCATTTTTTAATTTCCCGCCAGTTCCGTCCCCTGTATGTCCCGACGTCGCAGGGAACGGAACCCAGATGACAGATGCTGTCATCCGCCGGATTACATTGCCAGGGACACTGCAGGAGGGATATCGCGGGAGCGCAGGACAAGATAAGTGATCGCGGAGCAGCGCCGCATTGTATTCCCGAGTGTAGCTCGGGGTTTCCGCTTGTGGTACTGAAACTTTTCCCCGAGCTACACTCAGAAATACCGCCAGGGAGGCTACAGTGGTTGTAAACCTCAGAAATGAAATATGAACAAAGCATATCCCTCTAAAGTGTGTACTTGTCACAATCCAGAGTGTAATTTCTGTCTGCTGCCTCATTCCTCTGCTATCAGTATGAGTCATTTCCAATGAGTTTTCCTGACACCAAGAGAAAAATGGTTACAGGGTGGGACATCCAGAGGTTGACAACCTCAGCTTTGTTCCTGCGAGCTGTGTGAAAGGGGGGGGGTTGTCCCTTCCCTCCCCTCCCCTCCAATCAGCTCTCCTCACTGATGTGACTTCAGCTCCCCGCCCCCTGATTTTTAGAGCTGAGAGATCCTGTGTGTATTCTGCACTTTCAATGGATGTAGGGGAAAAAAGCTGTAGATAACCA